GAATGTGCAGCGAGGCAAACCTTCCTTCCTATTCTGTTCTAACGTATATTTGGCATCATCTGCACTACTCATGGGAAGAGTGCAAACCACAACGATCAGTTTCCGGGTCTTGGATATATGTCAGGGTCAGGTGCTTTCAGACAGTCTCGCAAAGTCACAGGGTTTCCGAATGTGATGTCACATCTTTAGTCCATGCACTATTCAATTCTGAAACCAAGTCAGTAGAGCTCCGCACAGCGAAGCTGACAACCCAAGCACTGCACAGAATAACTGGCTTCGATCATGTTTTTATTAGAAGCAAATTGAAGGGAAAGCTTGTGTGTTTTTGTTACGAATGAGTTGCAAAATACTAATTGCCAGCTTGATTGGATTGGAAACCAGTGTTTATCTGAGCCCAGATTACAAAATATATGCCTCGGTCATATGAAGCCACAAAGCAGTACACTTTACTCCTCAGAGCTCCTTGCGGCCAGCCTGGTACCTCTGCCACACCTTCACATATTACACAGTCCATTGAACATGTTCAATATACTGCATATGTTTTTCATCTGCTTAACTTTCTTTGAGAAAATTATCCAAAATTTGAAAAACTCTTTCCATTTGCCATGTTTGCATAGTTATATCCTTGTTTACATTATTTGTACAGCTAGACGTTCTGTCATTGAAGCCCTTCAGAGAGCTTGCGTTACGGTCACTTTGATTTGAAAAGTCATATTGTCATGCACCTGACTGTTGCAGTTGTAGCAGCATATCGAAATAATTATGCAAAACAAACTGATTTAGGCCTGTCTGTTCTTATTTCAGAATAAGGGTGTTTGTTTACAAAACAGAGAATATCACATGATAAATGTACAGCAGCTGTGGGTCACTGAAGCAGAAACTCCTCTCAGGGGATAAAGCAAGCAGAGACAAGTAATCTTGGGAGTTATCGGCTATTGTTTGCAAACAATGATTCAGAATGGTCGACATACTTGTCCTTCAAGATCCTTTGAATAAATGTCTTAAAATTCTGGTCCAATGTTCTTTCTGACTTCTTCTATCCCATTGTTAGTTGTGTCAAAGCCTACCCTTGTTAACATTTTGGTCTTGTTTTTGAAGTTTAACTGTCAATGCCATGGTTTCACCAACTCAAGAATATTTTTCACCATGAGCAAATGCAAACAGACTGCAGTGTGTAAAAGACCTGTGTTGCAAGTTTCTAACAACGGCAAGGCAGACGGATCAGTGACTGCCACAAAGAGGATACATATGAACTCATACAACTCAATGTTTCAAAATATGTGTGCCTTTCGACCCATTGTGGCTTGTACAAACCCTACAGTGCTTTAACATTACTTTGAGAAAGAAACAGAAATATATGACTGCAAGTACAGTCCGTTTGATTCCATTTGAAACCGATGAATTGCTCACTAACTCACAGGGATGAAAAAATCTCCGCGGAAACGCGGAAAATCACGTTTTTTAAAACGGAGTCCTCGGAAAAAATCATATTCCGCGTAAAAATTTAATAAATCTTTTTTAAAAAAACACTCCGAAAAATATGATCGAAAACCGGACAATTGGCACGGATTGTCCTGTTTTCGATCAGAGCTTTCACCAGCATAGGTTTTCGGACATCATACGTTTTCTGTCACGAATACTTGCACTATAACGTGGGGTGTGGCGTCACACAGAAATTGTAAATACTCAGAGTCAGCTGATGGCTTGTTTTTAAGATAAAGCTGTCTTTTAGCCTGTAAGTGAATGAGATGTTTTACAGTTGTTCATGTGAAAAGCAAGAAAACTATGAATGTTTCTTCAGCGTCCAAAACCCCATGTCATGGGGATATATGTTGTATTAATGTCTTATGTTTGCAATGGAGTTTTGTTTTTTACATCAAAAGGTAAGTACAAGGTAAGTTTTTTTCAATATGCTTCAACATGGGGAAAGGGTCAGACATTGCACGCTTGTGACAGTTGTCCTTGTGTATGGGGGATGGGGGGTTGAAGTTTATGGCAGTATTGCTCCCAGACCTGGCGGGTAGCCAGGTGCGCGAAAGCTATGCCCAATTTTTTAAAAGTACTGATTTAACTTCGAAATTTTACTGCATCTGCCATCTTGTTTATTTGACTTATTGACTTTGGCCATTGACTTATTACATTTCTTGGTGTGAATGTTGTCCAAACTGCACGAAATTGCTTAAAATGCAATCAAATGTTTTAAACATTTCTGGGGGGGCATGCCCCCAGACCCCCCACGACTTTTCCTCTTTTTTCGGGAAAACCTGCTCACATCCCTGAACTCAAAATCTAATAATTGCAACAAAAACAAAATGTGCACAGCGACATGAATTGGACAGACCTACTCTGATGGTTTGTCTCAAAATTTTGGACACCCGAATAAAAAAATTGTTTAACAAACGATCATCATATTGTTGACATTTTTCGCCATCCCATACCAGGGAGGACCAGTCGTTCATAGAACAGACAGGTTGGCGAGTTTCATGTGCGAAAGTGACGTAAGGCTTGCTGAGCAAACCATAGATGCGTGATTGCTATATCTGAAACAATGAGAACATCACTCGACTCGAAGTCAATTATTTGCAACGTTTGTGAAAGAGGTAGACCACAATATGCTTTGAAAAAGTATCGTTTACGAACTGCACGTGCAGTTGGGATAACAGAAGGGAAGTTAAAAACTATGTTAAAAAAGTGTACTGATTCAACCTGCAGTGACACACCTGAGGGGACCATCTCAAAACCCAAGCGATGTTTTAAAGTCGATTCATTTCAACGAGATGGTTAGAAACGCCATTAAGACTCTGTATAAACAAAATATCTATGTCTCTCTCCGTACTCTAAAAAAATATACGGAGACAAATCATTCTTTGACCATTTCAAAATATCAGTTATGGAAATTGCTATACCAATTTGGTTTCCGTTACAGAAAAGTAGGCTCCGAAAATAGACATGCATTATGCGAGAGGTCTGATATTGAAAAAAACGTTACGAGGGTTATGAGCCCGTATACTTGGACGAAACCTGTTCTGTATGATATTATAAAGTCTAATAAAACCACACCTGTCTTTAAAGTTGACGAGTATCTTAAAGAACATGGCCATTCAGTTTTGCGATTGCCGCCCCATATCATTGCGATTTAAACCCAATAGAACTAATTTGGGGTATCATTAAATCGGATGTTGCCAGGCAAAATACAACATTCAAACTGCGGGATGTACAGAAACTGGTTCAACAATCAATAGACACCATCTCGCAGGAAACGTGGCAAAAGTGTGTTGAGAAAGTTGAGAATGAAATAGAGAGACATTATTGGGATCATAGTGGATTGGACCATGCCACAATCAAGCCAGTGATCATCAGGGTAGACTCGGACAGCGGCGACACCGATTCCGAATGCACTGTCACGGCTTCAGAAAACTGCAACAGTGACTCCGATTGAACACCCAAAACGGCTTTTGAGATGACCCCCATATACGGTGCACATGCTTGTTCATTACCTGGCTGTTCCATAAGCGACTGGTCCTCCCTGGTATGGGATGGCGAAAAATGTCAACAATATGATGATCGTTTGTTAAACAATTTTTTTATTCGGGTGTCCAAAATTATGAAACAAACCATCAGAGTAGGTCTGTCCAATTCATGTCGCTGTGCACATTTTGGTTTTGTTGCAATTATTAGATTTTGAGTTAGTGAGCAATTCATCGGTCTCAGATAGAATCAAACGGACTATAGATAAATAGATAACATCAGTGTCTCAAACACATCATACTTTTTTTCCTTTGTTTTGTTGGGGTTAGCTGAGCAGATGGATGATTGATAGCACATAGGAAGTCTACTGTGAATTCAAGCTCTTATGTGATTTGTTAATAGCAGAGCAGTCATCCAATGAAAATGTGATAAAGCTAAAATCGTACAAAGGACTCTGCATCCAGCTGACATTTTCAATGTTTATAGACAGACTTTTGTCGCTTCAATATTAGATTATCCAAACAATTCAGATTTGTTAGCCTAGATTTTACATATCTAACTATACAGCTAAAACACTGTGCTTGAAAAAGTACTAGTTAAAAGGATTTTCTAAATTCAGAGTTAATATTCCTTCAACAATGACTCCGAACGATCACTTGACTAAATGACTGAGCAGTGAAAAACAATGAAAGTGAAGAAGTGATATCTACAAAGACACACAATAAATTACGAAGAACTCATTACTATTCACCGGTCACTTGCATCCGAACACATGAACTTGTTATTCCACTGTTCACTTAGGTGTTTGCTAGTTTCATTTGCCTCATTGTACTGGTTGTACTTGCAGTAGAACTGATATAAATACAACATACATATGACAATTTATTTTCCGATTTTCACCATCCAAATCATGAGGAAAGACATCAACTACACATAACCACAAAATATAGAAGGCAAGTAACTGTGATTTCCCCTCCTTTGAAAGTACTTGAGTACTCGGTAAAGCCCTCGTAATACTAACACATACCCACTGAAGGTATTATCATTGATTAATGGTTGATATGAACATTCACAGTATAGTTGTAATATACAGCATTACATCAGGATACTTCGTTCCATAATATCACATAGCCATCTGATAGCTATATGTCGTACTGTCACACAAACGATACAATGTATCCTACATACATGATGAAAAAATATGGTAGGGCACAGAATTGAATATCATTCATTTCCAATTCATCAAGCAAGTGTTAGTTTTATTGACAAGATATTGTTGGTCTCTCAGTGAAATGTCAATATCCTGCAACATGCATATAACCTGACCGCAATGTACCACAAGGGGCGAAACATGCACCGGGGTCTAGTGCAAGAAATACCCAGCTGTCTTTTGCAGCTCTACATGCACACACAGCGTGTTACTCGCTGTGCCCGTCCACAATCATGGTGTCATTCATGCATTTGGAATAACAGAGAGTGAAGTGTCAATATTGCGCCGTGTGTGGTGAACACTGATTGAGCGTGGACCCTACCTGTCGGTGTTCATGTTGGAGCTAATGGAAGAGCTCGCCTTCATACTCTTTACACTGCTGCACTTGGTGGGAAGAGGAATTAGGGCTATACGTTTTCCGTAATTCATTTTGCCGTGGTGCAACCCCTTTTCAGATTGTAATCCCAGTGACAAAAGGTACACTCCAGTTTGTCTAGGTATTACCCAAACATTTAAACATCACACACATTGCTTCCGCCATTAGGTTGTATATGTTTATCAGACCACCAATCAGGCGTTCTTTCTACTGATAGCACAACTCGTACGCGCGTGCGCGAAATACGATGTAAAACTCTTTGCCGGGATGTACGTGCATACATTGCGATAGGTCTTAGTCATCGCTATGGCCCCGACGCTGCACCGAGTACACAATGGCCTTCGTGAAGAGGAACTCTTATAGTTATATAAATAGATTTTTTTCCAGCGTACAGAAATTTATGGGTTATATAAAATTAGAAAATTCTTATTTGAGTGTGAGATTAGTATTTAAAATATACTATATTAGAAACAAAATTTTGTTAGACCAAATTAGTGTACTATAATTTCATTGAACAATGATATCCCTATTTCTGATATGTAGTTCACGAAGAAGCTAAAGTGGGGCACATTTAGTATCTCAAAGATTGTATTGCTGACATACTTTATAGTTATTTTATGTATCTAGTTTTGTGATATCAATTCTCAATTATGATTTGATTATTTCTTGAGGCGTTTTTATCCACACACTTTACATGGAGGGAAGTGATGGCTCTGCTCTGACGTGTTTGAGCTATTGTTTCTTTTTTTCTGTATTTTTATTTCTTATTCGCTTTTTTTACTTAAGTTTAATCTACACACATTTGTAACACTTATCATACGACACTGACCGCAAAGTATGTCTTGTTTAATATGTATTACACACACACACACACACACACACACACAGATCCGCCTTATCATTGACGCGCGTCGCTAGTCGTATATACAATGTATACAGATTCTTGTGGTGCACACTAGATTCTCCAATATCAACAAAGCGTCGTGTTTGCGTATTTGTTTTCTTAATTTTATAATATTCTTCTTTTTCTTCCTAATGTGCAACACATGAATAACAACAATTAACAGTTTGATATATCAATCTGTTAATTGTTGTTATTCATGTGTTGCACATTAGGAAGAAAAAGAAGAATATTATTTTATTTTGATGTCACATATTATACATGTCACATATACACATATACTGTATATAGTTCATTAAAATATTCATTGGTAGAAAATGTACAATATCTGGACAGAGGGCCTATGAACCACCCAGATCTATAATAATAATAATAATAATAATAATAATAATAAAGGTAATATATTACGATCTTGCCACGTTGTGGCCAAAAGACACCACACACATGTATATATAAATTAATATAGATGCACAAAATCAGTCACACATGCACCAAACATATAAAATCTTACCTCTCCTCCATACATCCACATCATAGGCGTACCTGTCATCCGTCCACTTAAAAGGAGGGGGAAAATACAAATGCATACAAACCGCAACCATCTATCAAAGTATACCAACTAAGTTTACCATGTACATACTTCCACACGTCCATTCTTTCATATAAACATCTTTTCACGTCAGACATATAGTACATATATACCATCACACACTATGTAAAATATCACACAATATATGAGAAACAAAGGTGTACCATTTACCCCGTGATCAAAACACAAAATGTTAACATTAATGATTTAACAAAATGTGTAAATCTACCTAATTCTGTTTCTAATGGCAGAGTGCCGCAGCGCAGCTTTCTCATTACACTGCGTTGAGATCTACCCATGATAGCAGAAACATATGTTTCAACAGTCAAGGTGTCCTTGAACAGTCTATATGTACGCAACTTGTTGCCATTGTCTAGACGCTGTCATTCAGCCAGTCGTAACTATCAAATGACAACAAAAAGTGTTTGGCAAGGTTGAAATCTAAACATGAGATATTATACAAATCGGCAATTGGTAACTGCAAACTATTGAGCAAGGGTAAAAACATTATTATTCCAAGATGTGATAGGCTGGACTAACCTTCTATACAGAGTATTATAAACGTGATAAGCCAAACCACCAACTGACTTAAATTTACAAATCAAAACACCAAGTACCCGATTAGCATATTTAGCAATTTCTTTTGCAGTAAAATTCAAGTCAAGATTTTCATGTAACCAAATCCTAGATAGTTGTAAACATGAGCAATTTCTACCTCTTCACAACCAATCAAAAACTTAAAGTCGGATCTTTTAACAGAACATGGGCGGTAATGAACAACCTTAGTTGTCTGAATGTTTACAAGTACATGCCACTGTGAACACCAGTTGGCCACACATTCTAACATTCGTTGTAAACAATACTCGCCTGGTGCAACGAGAGCGATACCATAAGCGTACATCAAAATACTAAGAAAATAATTATTTAACTGGATACCTCAATTTAAAATGTTCATTTCAACGGCTAGATCATTAATTAACACTGAAAACAAAGTTGGCGACAAAACGCAACCTCGCCTAACGCCAGACTACACAGAAAACTGGTCAGTGTTAACATCATTCACACGTACACATGACCAACCATCATCATACATGTACATTGCTTGAACTGCATGTAGAAATTTACCTTAAACTCCAAGTTTAATCAATTCATACCAGAAAGAATTACGATCTAGTTTATCAAAGACTTCCATGGAATCAATATAACATACAAATGTAGATTGCTTGGACAGTGTCCTGTTATTTATAACAGAGAATAAATTGTTTTTATGTTTTGCGTATTTCGCTTTGAGCGGAACCCATTGGCTCATCCGCCAGTATATTATTACACTCTAACCGTTCATAAAAACGGATATTCAAAATTTCAGAATACATCTTGCATACAGAAAGAAGGGACATACCATGGTAACCAAGTGGGTCACGAGGATCAGTATCTGATTTCTTAATTAAATTAATTAAACTGGATCGCCATACATCAGGGCATATCGTATTGTCAAAGGAGTATTTAGTTAATCTAAGCAAAATGTCAATACGTGTACTATTTTTTAACGATTCACTTGGGAGTAGGTCAAATCCAGCTGCCTTCCCACGTTTTGCACGTGCAACTGCACTCTCAACCTCTGATAAGGCGATCGGAGAATCTAGGTCACTAGTGTCAAACACATTTTCTGATGTCACCTGGTTGTTTATCAACTCCTCACAAACCTTCTGTAAACTACAGTCATCAAAACTAGGCGAGGCACCATCAAGTAATAGGGGACTATATTCATCCATCCATTTATTCAGAACAAACTTCCTATTACCGTAGAAACAACACTATCGTGCATTACTTCCCAGTGAATACCATTGTTTCTATCATTAGCAATACCTATTTTACCGATCGCCTTCTAAAACTACGCGAGTCGCAGTTACTGTAATTGTCTAACAAGCGTTGTTGTTCATTCAGTTGATATGACCTCTTTCACTTACGTAACAATTTATCAAAACTTTTCCTTTCTAAAACAAAAGTGTTTTTCATAGATTTTCTTTTAACACGAGATTTACAATTTAGCAACAGCTTTCCGGCAGCACAAGCTTTATCCCACCGCAACTGCAATTCGTTACACCAGTATGGCTTATAAAAGGATTTACACTTTTGATTTCGACGTTGTAATGGACAAGGTAAAGCACATTTATCCAATTCAGAGTGCATTAAAGAAACAAATTCAGTGTAGGCTGCGTTAATATCTCCAAGACTGGACAACTTGGTTTCATACTAGACAACACGTAGTCGGCTCTGCAATCAACTATATACCTAATGTGCAACACATGAATAACACCAAGTAACAGTCTGATAAGGGAAAACAAATACGCAAACATGACGCTTTGTTGATATTGGAGAATATAGTGTTGTCTAATATTTTTCTGCGAACCTTTTATGACACCGTATATACGGCAACTGAAGACACAATAACTAATAATAAACACCACTACTGGGACTGGTTAGTCGAGATCGTTATTCGGTGCCAACACTGGTATAAACAAAACCTTACATTCTTTAGATTTTAGCACAGTTATCATCAATATAGCTATGTGCAACCCAGCGTAGTTATATTGGATGTTACATAACGTGTATCAGCTTAGGCTCAACATTATCGCTATTTGGTATCATTAGTAATTCGACGATTTAGTAGGAGCAGTAGCAGTAGTATCTGTAGTAGAATAGTCAACATTATCGCTATTTAGTAATATTACTAATTCTATACGATTTATTAGTGTTATATGGCAGTGTAATTTAGAGTTAAACAATTATTGTAACTGTATTACATTGTTTCTGTTCAAATTCAGTAGAAGTTCATTGCATTGTATATGGACAATGATTATTTGTCAGGAATGTTGTACTATTTAATGTAAGCAGTGGTGAGGAAGTTATTATATTTAGATGCCTCAGTACCCATTGGCTTATGCGAAACTTGCTAAAAAACAACAAACACAAAACAGACGTACATGAAGTTGAACATTCTACTACTCCTCATGGTTGCGGGGCAGATAATATGGACTGTGACAATGTGTCTAAACGAGTGTGTTAATAACATTAGAACTAATCCTAGCAGCAATTAACACAACGAGGGACTCTTCCGCTGACAAATTATCAGAAAATGAGGCCAAAGTGACAAGAACTTTAACAGCAATGTTGAAACAAGAAACTGCAAACACGAGAAAGGAGTTTTACTTATAAATTACAAAGTTAGCGGAGATATCTGATAACTAGAAACTTCCCATACAATATCAACTGACAATCATACAAAGAGGCTGGAATCTGTTACAAGCCAGGTGAATACGCTACAGACTAAATTCGCGGATGCTGTGAAAAGACAGTGATTGTGACTTAGATCATATTATTGTCATTCGAAATGTTCATGTCGACAGTCGGGAATCGAACGATACAAACGTCACAATTCAAATTGTTACCAAACTGTTTCGAGACGGCTTGAAATTTACTGATGTGCGGGTGGCATGTGCAAAGCGGATGACACGTAAGGATAATAAGCCAGGGATTGTTTTTGTGACACTAGAGACAGTCGAACATAAGAGAAAGTTGATGTTGAACAAGAAGAATCTGCACGTCAGTAAAGACTATTCTCTAGAGAGGACTTGACCTCAAGAAGGAATATGCAAAAAATGACTCGTAGCAACCAAGGAATAGGGGTCAGTGCGGTTTAGATACTGGAATACAGGTGGATGGTCACAGCGGGAATCT